AGGCTGCTAAAACCTTTGGCACGTGTTTCCTACCTCCTCTCACACCCTGTTCTCTCAAAGGTAAGAACTGTCTGCTGTTCCCTTGTGCCTCGTTGTGTGATCTGTAGGTGTGGGGTTCCATTTAACTGTGGTTGACTAACAGTTAATAACGTCATGAATGAAAACATCAGACGTTGTGAAAGTCCACAGGTACCAGCAAGGTTTGTGGTTGGCAAAGTCATATACTTGGGTTTTGCTATTGTTTTCTTTTTCAGTTTAATGTTTTCTTTATTCTTTCATATTTTTAGATGCAGCCCGACAGACCACTCACGATCACGAGGTAATTAGCCTTCTTTTTGTATTCATATATATATTTAAAATCATGTTGCTGTTCAAAATGCTGTTACTTTTTTTTTTCATGAATGGTACAGAGGTTTTTTTTTTTAATCTCATAATTCAGACTGAGTTGCTTTGGCTCAGGGATTTTTAACATATGGTAGACACTTATGTCATGAATCTGCCTTTGAACTACAGTCCCTAACCCCAATCTGTTCCTGTAGTCTGAGAATTTTATTAGTTTTAAATGCCAAGAAATGGTTGGAATTCAGAGTAAGACAGAAATGGAAGCCAGCTAGAGACTGCAACTTGGCCGTAGTTTATCATCAACAAATGCTGTCGTCCCACTTTAGAAAGGTGTTATTTGGGAACTCCAGCATTTGATTAAAACGATCCTCAGCTCGTCAGTAGCAGCACACAGTGTGACTGAAGCTCAGTCCCTGAACCTCCTTTCCCGTCTCATCTCACTAGCCTGTGCTTATTGTTGGCCTCCTCCCTCAGGGTTGCTGCAGCCCCAACAGTAGGACTTAAGCCTGTATGTGTGTGTGTGTCCAACACACAGGCTTATATGTTTGCCTGTGCTGCTTTTACATGCTTCCGATATAGATGTTAAGTATATGGTTATAAAAAAATAAAATCTGTGGTCATTCCATGCTTTAAAATGTCAAGGGACTCATCTTTACTCACCAAATCATAAGCAAATGCAGCAATCAGGGTCTTCTGATTAGTCCCAACTTCTCATTTCCAACACCTTAAATTTATTGGCTGCCACCATCTTCCAAGTGCTGCTCTCCCTGCCTTGTGTCTGTATTCCTATTGTTCTTTTCACAGGGTAACCTCCTTCCTCATACATTCTTCTCTCCATCTTCCTGTTTCTGCTTCTCAAAGCTGAAATCATCCTTCAACCCTATTAAGTTCCATTTCCTTCTCAGCTCCTTTTATTTCTTCTAGCTGGCTTTAACCTTCAAAGTTGCTGTACCTCTCCCATATGGTTAGCTGAGCTGGCCTGGTCTAGACTCTTGAAAGCACTTCGGTTGTTCACATTATGGATTATGTATGATCTCCCTGAGAGGGCATACCTGATCTATTTTCTACCTTTCTCTCCAATCCCTTGCCACCTAGCATGATGCTCTTGCATGGAGAAGGTATTCTATAAAAACTTGTTTTCCTATAAGAATCGAAAGGTGACTGAAAAGCAGTGAGAATTTAAACAAAATGGTCTTCAAGCTAGGAGATGGCTCAGTCTGTAAGCATGACTTCCTATGCAAGCATGAGGACCTGGGCAGATCCCCAGCACCCGTATGTATCAAAAACTGTGTACAGTGGTACATGCTTGTAATACTAGCTCTGGGGAGCTAGAGGTGGGTAGATCTCTGGGTAATGGTAGCCACCCAGCCTAACCTAATTGGCAAGTTCCAAGCCAAAGAGAGACTCCATCTCAAAAAACTATAGTGACTGGCTCACTCTTAAGGATGACACCCAAAGTTGGCCTCTGATGTTCACATGTGCTATGGTATTTGGAATATTTCAGCAGATGTATGAGTGAGTTAATAAAAAAAAATGTGTCTTATATAATACCCAAATCATCATGAATTCTAAATACATACTTAGTTCTCTTACAAGGAGTGTAATAGGCTTCTAATAGAACAGACTTCCAGTCCGTCTTCCGATACTAAGACCTCAGACATATTCTCAGCTGCCTACCCCATTTTGCCAGTGTGGGGGTGACTTGCCTAGGATAAGAGAGTTTATTCAACTTGTTAGAGGAGGCTGGAGAGATGGCTTAGCAGTAAGCAGCACCGGCTGCTCTTGCAGAGGAACTGGCTTCAATTCCCAGCACCCACATGGCAGCTCACAATTGTCTGTAACTCCAGTCCCAGGAAAGCCCTCTTCTGGCCTCTGTAGGACCCAGGCATACGCGTGATACATGGCCATACATACAAGCGAAACACCCATACACATAAAAATAAACCAAACTTAAAAGAATAAAAAGTTAAGTTGGAGGCAATAGAGTAGCTTCCTGCATCCCAGTTAGCCACTATTGGCAACACAGTGCCATGCTACATGGAAAAACTGGGCACTGTTGAAAGTAAACCTGAGATGTCAGCCAGAACCTAGTGAAGACAGATTTACCGGTTTCCATATAATAAAGAAGCTAGTTTTATTTCTAAATTGACTGAGATTCCCTAAGTCATTGTTGCCTGGACAGAAGCAGCAGAGTGCATCTGAGAGCTGACAAATGCTGGAAGCCGTTCTGCGTAGCAGAAGGCACTGCATCCTGGCTCATGATAATAAGAATGGTCCTCAAGTAAAAAGACACTTGAGAGATGCATGGCATACTCTCTGTAGTTCTGGCCCTGAGCCTTGCCCTAAATCACAGGCTGAAATAGATTACATTCAGAGAGTCCTCTGTTCTTTTTCCTTCCAGTCAGTGAGTGTACAGAATGGAAATCCAAAGTGAAGAATATTCTTGTCTTCTCAGATCAAAAACCAGCCCACTGCTGGGTGGTGGTGGCACATGCCTTTAATCCCAGCATTCGGGAGGCAAAGGCAGGCGGATCTCTGAGTTCATAGCCAGCCTGGTCTACAGAGCAAGTTCTAGCAAAGAAACCCTGTCTTGACAAACTGAAGAGGAGAAAAAGCCCACTAGGTGCAAGAGTCAGTCAGTGAGCTGTACTCTCTAGAAAGTGTCTTCATCTCATATGAAGACTAAGCTAGAAACAATAATTTTGTTTAATTTGTGAAAAATGACAAAATGACACTCAGCCTGAACAAATTAGACCCTTTCAATGAGGAGGTAATCAAATCCTTATGACTTAATCCCTTGAGCAATCCTTAGAGCACTTAAGCATATCCAAGCCCCCAGGAGGAGCCTCTCTGTGCCGAGTAATGTACTCAGTAATGGAGGAGTGCTGGTGGTTTTTATTACCGCTCTTCCTTTAAGTAGAATGTCTCTGTTGCGTTCAGAGACTGAACAGTTTCGTTCAATTGCTTTAATGTTTCTTATTTTGTACTCTAAGAATCTGTACCAAGGGGCAGTGTATATTGTACCTGGCTGCTGCTAGCCTCTGCCCTTACATAATGGGTTGGGTTTGGACTGTTCTGACAAAGAATGGAATGGAATTACCATTCTGAGGAGAGTAAAGGCCTTGAGAAAGGCCCTTTGTGCCATGTTCATGGTAGCCAAGCAACCCCTTATCATTCTGAAGAGCAAATGCTGGGACTCATGGTCACTGTGCAACTGAGTAGGAAGCTGAACAAGGTAAGAGAACTGAAGTTACAAGGCTCTGTCCTAAGTCACTGGTAGATTTAGGATTGGACCTGTGGTACTGTATGCATGTTGGGATTTTGTGTCATGAGTTTCCTGTCACAACTGGGTAATAAAGTTAAAGCATACAGTAATCCTGCAGTCTATAGACAGCTACTGGAAATGTGGCTAAGATCCCTTTCAGAACCAGTCTCTCTTGCCCGTACATTAATTAGTTCTCAGCGAAATCTACTAGGTAGGAACTGTCTTGGGGGAGAGGTGTGCATGTCAAATTGTGGTACTTTTGATGGTAATCCTGCTGTTTATTTTTTAATTGTCTAGAAAAAGTTGTTTTCCTCCATTAGAAAAACAAAAGAATGTGGTAAAATTAAGCACTCTGAAATGAAATGTTCCTCAAGTAAACATAATACTTTTTCAGATTTCCATCCATTGTTTTAGAGCGATCTCACAAGTGCTGTGATTATGCATATGAACCACTAGATTCCCATCTTAAATGCCTATCTTGATCTGTTCCGATCAGTAGGCAGTTCCTCCAGTCTGCCCCCTTCCTAAGTAAACACAGTGGGAGACAGGATCCCTGCTCTCAAGTTTCCTCACAGCTGAGCTGCTTAGCTTTTCTACTGAGCATCAAGTCTTTTTTTTTTTTTTTTTTTTTTAAATTCAAAGATAAAAGGTAAGCCGGGCGTGGTGGCGCACGCCTTCAATCCCAGCACTCAGGATTGAATTCAATCTCAGCAGAGCCAGGTGGATCTCTGTGAGTTCGAGGCCAGCCTGGGCTACCAAGTGAGTTCCAGGAAAGGCTCAAAGCTACACAGAGAAACCCTGTCTCAAAAAAACCAAAAACAAAAACAAAAGCAAAAAAAGATAAAAGGTAGTGGTAAGAAGTAGAAACAATTTTTTTTTCCAGTGTTTTTTTAGACATGTTGTAAAGCCTCAGCTGGCCTGGAACTCATAGAAATCCACCACAGCCACCATGCCTGGCAAAAGGATACATTTTATCCTTTATTTTATACATTTTATATCTTACCTTAACATGTTTTTAAAGGAATGAATTCTGAGTTATTTTCTTTACTGCTTTTTTTTTTTTTTTTTTTTTTTTTGGTTTTTCGAGACAGGGTTTCTCTGTGTAGCTTTGCGCCTTTCCTGGAACTCACTTTGGAGACCAGGCTGGCCTCGAACTCACAGAGATCCGCCTGCCTCTGCCTCCCGAGTGCTGGGATTAAAGGCGTGCGCCACCACCGCCCGGGCTCTTTACTGCTTTCTTATTGAGAGGTTTTGGAATCTTCAGATTTCACAATAGTTTCCTTACTTCCTGCTCTCTTTTTATGTTGTACAAGATTTTGAATATAAAACACCTATAGCTTATATTTATTATACCTTCAACTTCAAATTCATTACAGAAATGTCAGCCATAGAAAGTTGAAATATTGGCTCTGTTCTTTTTGTTACTGTTGTTATTTTTTAATTATTTATTTATTTTTATTTCATGGACATTGGTATTTTGCCTACAGGTATGTATGTCTGTGTGAGGATGTGAGATCCCCTGAACAGGAGTTAACAGACAGTTGTGAGCTGCCATGTGGGTGCTGGGAATTGAACCTGGGCCCTCTGGAAGAGTAGCCAGTGCTCTTAACCACTGAGCCATCTCTCTAGCCCCTTGGCTCTACTCCTAAAGCTCATGGTTGGAAATATTTTACAGTAGTTAGTGATACTTTTTATCTAATGGTTTATTAATTAGGGCTTTGTTATTCTTCTCTGTCTCATAGAATCCTTAGATTTCTTATTTGTAGAGCCTGGTTATTTCTGGCTTCTTGGGTTGGTTTGTTTTTCTTATGTCTGAAGAAAAGTCTACAAGAGCCCCAAAAAGTCTACTGCCCCTTCATAAATAGATAGAAGTACCAGCAGAATGGCATTATTATTGTTCGTTGCTGGCAAATCTCTGCTTAGAATTCCTATTCTCCACTCTGCAAATTTTGATTGTATACTTCCTTCTCAGATAGTGCTATAATGCGCAACCAACAGGAAACAACTACAATACCTTTTTCAATTCCTGACCCAGCCACATTCACAACTCTCATCTGTAGACTATTCAAAGTACAGTGCTAAGAAAGGGTTTCTGTGGTCTTCACTAGTGAAATGCATGTTGGTTTGTTTTTAAGTCTTTTACTGCCTAGCAGTTGGATACTGAAGAGATCTGATACTAACTGCTGCAGCTCTGTGAAGTTCCATTCCAATGAGAGACTATATCCCCTCCCCGGCTCTCGTAGTCTGATTCCTGCTGACCAACTGTTTCTCTAAGGAAGACATGATCCTTGTGCCTTGGGCACTATTATTCATTTAACTTCTAAGGACTAACTTTTGTTCTTGATTCATAGAAAGAAACAGAGGTAAAGGAACGCTCTGTTTTTGACATCCCTATATTTACAGAAGAATTCCTGAACCACAGCAAAGGTGATTACTGCAGTGTTTTTTTGTGTTCCTTGGGTCTTTGACAGGGGATTTAGCTCTCAGGAGTTCATTGCTCAAAAGCACTGGCTCATAGCCCTCCTTAGGACTGGAGAGGACTCTACTGCAAAGAATGTCTGTTATTTCACCTTGTGACTGGTGAGGGAAAGCGAGGCCAGTGCAGCCAAAGTTACTTGGTTTTGGGATCAAAAGAAATAAATACAAATCACTAATGCAGTGGCTTTAGTTAGGTAGCCTAGAACGTTCTATACAAATGAAAGTTTACATGGGAGTCCAGAATACACAGTAAGAAATTGCAAAATTGGGGGGTGGAGAGACGGCTTAGTGGTTAAAAGCACTGGCTGTTCTTCCAGAGGATCCAGGTTCCAGTCTCAGCACTCACATGGCAATTTGGTTTTTGTTTTTGTTAATTTGGTTTTTGTTTTTGTTTTCGTTTTTTATTTGTTTTGTTTTTGTTTTTTAGTTTTTCAAGACACGGTTTTTCTGTATAGCCCTGGCTGTCCTGGAACTTACTCTGTAGACCAATCTGGCCTCAAATTCAGAGATCCACCTGCCTCTGCCTCCTGAGTGCTGAGATTAAAGGTGTGTGTCACCACCACCCAACTTTTTTGTTTTTTTTTTTTGTTTTTGGCAATTTGTAATTCCAGTTTCAGGGGATCTAATGCATTTATCCTGGCCTCTGTGGGCACCAAGCATTCATGGTGCATAGATATACATACAGGCAAAATACCCACACACATAAAATAAAAATAAATAACTACTTTTTAAAAAGAAAGAAAAAGAAAAGAAATTACAAAGCTGATCCCATTGCAGGAAAGATGGATATCCATAGCTATGCTTAGCCAGTCTTCTTGGATACCTCTGTGAAGCCCTTCAGGCTTCTCACTGCACAATTTTAAAAAGCAAAATCTAACAAAATGCTGGGAATTGCCACTGTTTGTTGCAGTCTTGCGTATAGAATGTGTTGCTTTAAGAATTAAAATAGCTCGGGGGAGCCAGGCATTTCATTGCTGAAATTGCTATCTGGAGTGTCATAAAGAGAATTGGGAGATGGGGGTTGGGGGATCTAGTGAGAGACAGCTAAGCAGAACTTCCTTAGGAGGGTTCCTGGGTCTCCTCAGAGGCGCCTTCTCTTACCACATGTGTTCTGGGGGGCATGTGTCCTCAGCTCGTGAAGCAGAGCTCCGCCAGCTTCGCAAATCCAACATGGAGTTTGAAGAAAGGAATGCAGCCCTACAGAAGCATGTGGAGAGCATGCGCACAGCAGTAGAGAAGCTGGAGGTGGATGTGATTCAGGAGCGGAGCCGTAACACTGTCCTTCAGCAGCACCTAGAGACCCTGCGACAGATGTTGACCAGCAGCTTTGCCAGCATGCCCTTGCCTGGTAACGGCATCCTCTCCATACACTATCAGTGGTAGGGAGAGTGGGTCGGGTGGGGATGGGATGCTGTTCATGTAAGTAATGTGGAGAAGCTGAAATGTCTCTTAAGAGGAAGAGGGGGAGGGGGAAGTGTCCCATCAAGACTTTCTCTCATCCCCAACCCCCAGACAGGATTTCTCAGTGTAACAGCCCTGGCTGTTCTGGAACTGACTCTCTAGACCAGGCTGGCCTCAAACTCAGAGATCTGCCTGCCTCTGCCTCGCAAGCATCAGTGGGAGCTAGACATGGTAGTCCACACCTTTAATCCTAATACTTGGGAGGCAGAAGCAGGAGGATCTCTATGAGTTCGAAGCCAGCCTGGTCTACATAGTAAGACCCTGTCTTTTAAAAAAAAAAAAAAATTTTCAATGAGACATGTTATAGAATGTCTATATTTATTAAAATCATCGAGACTTTCAGACTCTGATCGTTTACGTTTTTGTCCACTTCTATTTTAATATAACATTCTTTGCCATTAAACCTACTTTGATATTCAGAACCATTGGGTGATCAAGTTTCAAATCCTAAGGAGAGCACTTTCTTCTATGAATGTTTGCCTTGTATTTATTTGTGTTCTAATGGGAAGGAAAACAACACTAGTATTTCTTACCTACACTCTCATTTTAATTATAGTCATAGCAAAAATCTGGCAGTCTCAAACCTTTTGTCATACAACTCCTCATACACATTGTATTATATCGCCCATCTGTTTAGAGCAACAGTTCTCAACCTTCCCAATGCTGCTACCCTTTATAAAATTCTGTTCCTCGCCGGGCGGTGGTGGCGCACGCCTTTAATCCCAGCACTCGGGAGGCAGAGGCAGGCGGATCTCTGTGAGTTCGAGGCCAGCCTGGTCTCCAAAGCGAGTACCAGGAAAGGCGCAAAGCTACACAGAGAAACCCTGTCTCGAAAAACCAAAAAAAAAAAAAAAAAAAAAAAAATTCTGTTCCTCATGTTGTGCTGACCCCCTACCGTAAGATTATTTTTGTTGCTGCTTCATAACTGTAATTTTGCTACTGTTATGAACCGTAATGTAAATATCTGTGTTTGCCAGTGGTCTTAGGTGACTCCTGTGAAAGGGTCCTTCAACCCCCAAAGAAACCCACAAAACCACTGGTTTAGAGTGTGTGTTAGTTATTTGTTGTTGCTGTGATAAAACATCGTGGCCAAAAGAGACTTTCAGAAGAGTTTATTTTGGCTTATGGGTCCAGGGGGTCCATCATGGTGGGGAAGTGTGGCAGCAGGTGGCAGGCAAAGTGGCTAGAGCAGGAAGATTAGAGATCACATCTTCAACCACAAGCACCAGGCAGAGCAAGATAACCGAAGTGGAACACAGCTACAGCCTCAGAAAGCCCTCTCCCTGTAACATACTTCCTCCAGCTAGCCTCCACCTGGTCCACACCCCCCGAAACAGTGCCATCAGCCAGGAACCAGGTGTTGAAATACATAAGCCTGCTGGGCAGTGGTGGCGCACACCTTTAATCTCAGCCCTCAGGAGGCAGAGGCAGGCAGATCTCAGTGAGTTCGAGGCCAGCCGGATCTACAAATCAAGTTCCAGGACAGCAGTACTGTTACACAGTGAAACTCTGTCTGGGGGGTGGGGGGAGATGCATTAAGCCTGTGGGGAACATTTCTTATCCAAACCACCACAGAATAGGAAGATTAGCTCCCTATCTTTGAGGTCTAAAAGTCTCTCCTATGCAATTAAAATCTTTCTGTTTAGCAAACCACATTAGTGTCATGATTTTTTTTTAACATGGATTCATTAAATATGTAGCTGAACTGCATGGGGAAAGTTTTCTTACTGTATCTTCTCGTCTCACTTCAGGAAGTGGAGAAATGCCAACAGTGGACACCATTGACTCATATATGAACAGACTGCACAGTATAATTTTAGCTAATCCCCAAGACAATGAAAACTTTATAGCTACGGTCCGAGAAGTTGTGAACAGGCTTGATCGTTAAGCACTGGTGAGTGCACACTGATGAGGTACTTGCATGTCAGCCCATCTTCAAAAGTGGGGTGTCCTCAGACCATCAGGATTGCTGAAATCTGGAACTGCACTAAGTGACTAAGGTGGAGACTTGACTCAGATTCCTCTTGTGTAATTGCTGGACGTCTTTCTCAATAGTATAGAAACAGACTCAAGATGGGTTCTCATGCATGTGTCAGGGTTGTTGAATGGAAGCAGCATGATTTTGTTGTTGGAACTCAGTTCTAGCTTTGCCCCTTACTGGTTTCCAAAAGGATCTTGAAGACTCCAGGAAAATTTAATGGAAATCACCCAAAAAATAGTTCTCAGAACAAACTAAATAGCATTCACCTGTTAATCTTTCTTTTCTCTGATGAATGTTAGTGCTAATTTATAAGTAGTTAATGGGTACTTGTATATTTAAACCTATATAAGTAAGAAATATTCTTATTCACCACTCAATAGCAGTGTGACTATTTTATGTTAAATGTTGATAGAACTAAACTTCAGTGAAGCAATTCATGTCTTGATTTTAAAAGGTTTAAAAAAAAAAAAAAGCCAGACATAGTAGCACACATCTGCAATCCCAGCCCTTGTGAGGCTAAGGCAAGAGCATTGTGGGTTCAAGACCAACGTGGGTTAGCACTAAGACTGTCTGGAAAAGCAAACAAAAGGTATAGAGAGGTATCTCAGTCGTTAAGTATTAATGCATAAGTATGAGGACCTGAGTTTTCATCCCAGAACCCACATAAAATAGCCAGGTGTGGTGATATACCTTTAATCCTCGAACTGTGGAGGACGAGACAGTGGATCCCTATAGCTTGCTGGCCAGCCAGCTTAGCCTAATTGGTGAGCTCCAGGCCAATGAGAGACCTGTCTCAAAAAAGGAAGGTAGATGGTTCTAGAGAGATGACAGCCTTGGATGTCCTCTGGTCTGCATGTACATCCCACAAACACCCACATACTCACTCACATGTACATACGTACACAATAAAACAAATAAACAAAAAAGCTAGGCATGTAAGCCCAGCATTTAGGAGATAAAGGCAGGAGAGTCACCAAGGGTTCAAGGTGAACCTAGTCTCCATAGTGAGCTCCAAGGCTAACATACCAAGACCCCATCTTTTAAAAAAAAAAATTTAAAAGGAGGTTGAGCATGGTGGTTCACAACTTTAATCCCTGCAGAGGCAGAAAGATCTTTTTGAGTTCAAGGCCAGCCTGGTCTACATAGTGAATTCCAGAATAGCCAGGACTACATAGAAACACCCTGTCTCAAAAAAAAAAAAAAAAAAAAAAAATATATATATATATATATATATATATATACACACACACACACATATACACACACACACACACACACACACACACACACACACACACACACACACACACACATATAAAGCACCCTACCGCAACACTAGGGAAATGACTTAGCAGTTAAGAGTACTTACTGTTCTTCTTCCAGAGGACCCAAATTTAGTTCCCAACACCCACATGGTGTTGGGAA